AGTCCACTTCTGTTCAACATTTATGTGAATGACCTTCCTCAGAGTTTAATGATACAATTGTGACAGTTTGCAGATGTTATTCATGTCGTCTCATCAACTCCGGTAACAGGAAAATACAAGTATGAGAGAGTCACAGAAAAAATGAATATTGAACTTCGTCGAACATCTAATTGGGAAAAGAAATGGAGAATTACGACTAATCCTGACAAGGTCCTTGTTAGCACGATAGGACGTTTTGCATCAACAATTGAAGATAAAGGGGTATCTCCATCAGAGGTACACCTGTAGCCATTAGAAACCCTAAAAAGATTTGGGATATGAAAAGGCAGGTTTCTCCTTTAACAAACTCGTGTAACTAAAAAGCTCAACATAGCCAAGCCCTTTTGCAGTCTCTTTCGATTCAATCAAGCCCCTCAACATGTCAAAAAACATCTATATAAAATGTTAATAAGACCTATACTCGAATACCCTTGTGTCCCAATGTCATTAACAAAGACCAATATGCTACGGTTACAAAGGGTCCAGAATAGAGCTCTTCGCTTCATTACCGATACCAGGAGGAGAGAGAGTTAAAATGGCAGATTTACACATACAAGATATTACTGCCATAAATGTACGCCTTGACACCCTAAAAAAGAAAACTACAATGCAAGAACTATACATGCCAGATAGAGAACATCCTATACAAGTGGCAAATACCACGGATTATATCATCAATACTCCTCCTCACAGGACTCAAAGAATGACTCTCCTACAGAGGGTCCGTCGTTTTATACAAAGCTGATTACCATCGACCAATGATATTGAGCAACCTCCCTGATGAAGATTGGGTAACACCAGAACCCTTCTATGTATACTGAGAACATCACCCCCAATTAGGGAGACATCTTGTATAACAATAAGAACATAAGAAAGGAGGAACACTGCAGCAGGCCTGTTGGCCCATACTAGGCAGGTCCTTTACAATTCATCCCACTAACAAACATTTGACCAACCCAATTTTCAATGCTACCCAAGAAATTAGCTCTGATGTGCAAGTCCCACTCAAATCCAACCCCTCCCACTCGTGTACTTATCCAACCTAAATTTGAAACTACCCAAAGTCCTAGCCTCAATAACCCAACTAGGTAGACTGTTCCATGCTATTTACTATGGCTGGACACCACCTGTAAGAAGCCATTGTCACGTAATTCTATAAACTGGCCAGAAAATTATTGCCTTCATTGTCGCATACATATCCGTTGTGCAATCGAGCAAAAAAAAAAAAAAAAAAAAAAAAAAAAAAAAAAAAAGCAATTGCAACTTGTATAATTACTACCAATTCAGCGTCATGTACTTGTATATCTGTTATATCTGTGACTGATGGGTTAGTATTATACCCCTTAAAGAATATATTATCATTTCACATACACTTTTTAAATTACACCAAAGTGGTTGGGCCACTTACCTTTTATATCCTACCTCTCTCTCCCCCCTCCCACCCTTTTTGCAAAATTTCTATCCTTACCCATCCTTCTTCCTTACCCATCTCACCAAAGCTCTGGTCTGGACAAGAGACAAGAGAGCCAGTGAGAGGGGAAGACCGAGGTACGGAGACCGGGAAGGCAAAATGAGGTGGAAGAAGGGGTTAAATGAGATTTTTTGGACTTTCTGAGAAGTAGAAGGATGATTGGGAGGAGAAGGTGTACGAGGTCTTTCCGATACCGGTGTTTGTGTAGAACACAAATAAGTGACAACAGTCTGAGGTGTTGAAGGGACGTCCAAGCCCAGGACAGCAAAAGAATTAGATACAGGAGTGACTTTGGGAGGGGCAACCGCAGAGGAGGCTGCAGAAAATGGGGCTGCAGAAAATGGGACCCCTGAAGTGGGGAGGACGTTTTGAAACCACGAGAATAAGAAACACAGGGTAGTCTCCCTTGGAGGCAGAGATGAGAAACTGCCATAGCATAAGAGACCTTCTGCCTTTGAGAACAAATTTCCCGCTCATGTAAGTAGACCTGGCAACGGCCAGAGTACGAAGGGCGAGCCTCATGACAATTAAGGCAAGAGGGAAGTCGACTGCAAGACTTATTAGAATGGTCATCAGCACCACAGACTGGGCATTTGGCTATAGATCTGCAATATTTCGCTGGGTGACCAAATCTCCAGCAATTTCTACACTGTTGCGGTTTAGGGATCACCTTTCGAACTTGTAACCAATGTCCTGCTACATAAACAGAGAATTGGAGTTCACGGCTGTTAAAAGTTAAATGAGCCAACTTGCAAGGGTATCATCTCCGCCCGCATGCAGGAAGAACACAAGCGTCTACCTTGAGAACTGGGAGAGCTTGGAGTTCCAGCTGTTCGAGAATGTCATTGCCACATGTCTGGAAATTCTGTTGGACTATGGTATGGGGTAGAATGACAGTACCACTACAAGAATTGAGGGAATGACGTTCTTCGATAGCGATAGGAATAGTATCGATATGTGAAAGAGAATGATCACTAGCTTGGGTAGCAAGAGGTACAGGGGCCTTAGGAGTGTCTGAAGAGTAATCAAAAGACGAGGCGAGGTCAGAACGGGGTGCGGTAAAAAAGAGGGGACCGGGGGGTGGGGTCTTTAATTGGGAACCCCCAGGGTTAGGTTACTTTTTTTTGTTAAAAAAAAAAAGAATTAAAAGGAGGGACCGGGGGGATATTTCTGGAGGAATGAAAGAGCCAGAAATTCCCTCTGTGCCAAGGGACCAAAGATTGCAAGTAGTGCAATGCAGCAGGGAAACCCCGTGCTCCCCTCCCCTTCATGCAGAAAACCCAGAAACCCGGGGATAGAAAACCTCACATTCCCGAGCTTCCTCGGTGGAAAAAAGAGGGGGACCCGGTATCCACCACAAAGATATTTTCCTTTTGGCCACCACCCCGGAACCCAAAAAGGTGGCTTCCAGAGATACACCCATCGCCCAAAAGACCCCTAAGCCGCCCTCGGGGTACGGAGAGGGATCGAGACACCCCAGGCGATCAGATTCACGGCAAACTACGCCCCCACAGAGAACCTCGAGGGAATGGGATGGACTCTGGTACCCTGTCCCCTACTGGGAAAAACTAGCATGGCTGGGGGGAAAAAACCCCAAAGGCCAAAGAGAGGAAGGGTAAAGGGGAGGGGTGGGGAAGGGAAAGGAAAAAGGAGAGGAGGGGATAGGTAAGAGGGGATTGGGGGGTAATTAGGTTTTCTGGGGGAAAGGAGAACACAATTCCCCAGACCAAAAAGCCCCCCCCCCCCCCCCCCCCCCCCCCATGCCCCCCAAAAACCCCCCCAAACAAGACGTCTAAATACTACCATAAAATTTTAAAAAGTTTCCCGACGTCCCAGGACATTAAGCAAGCCATGGCTAAACTTTTTAAAAATGTGTTCCACAGCTGCGCCCCCACAGGCAAGAGGTGTAGGCAGGAGATCTTAACAGGAGGTACGAGAGGATCTGTGCCCCTGAATTTAACTGGTCTCAAGTGACGAACCCTGAAGATGGAAAGCAAATACCCAAAAAGTCGAGCCCCCAATGTGCTCCTGTCGCAAGGCCCGTGGACTTTCGGCTCCTATGGGCATTTTGATATAGGGAGTGAAAATTAGAAAAAAAAAGGCTATTAGAGTGGGGCAGTACAGCAATCTCTGCCTATTCTTCCCTTTCATTCAGAATATTAACTTAGCAACATGCTTTAAACCGAAAAAATCCCCCCTCTTGTTCTTTTCTTGGACATGAATTAAACCCATTTTTTAAATTTCAGAATCTGAATTTAATGAAAAAAATGGAAGGTTTAGGTTTGGAATGTGAAAAAAAAAAAATTAGGGGGAATTTAAGGAAAATTTTTAAAGGGGTGCCCCTTTAGTCCATTAGGAAAGCGAGTGTTTATATAATGCAAGTGTAATGTGGAAAGGCACGAGGGGGGGTAGGAAATTGGAGGCGGAGGGTTGGGGTTTTAGAAAGGGCCCGTCAGTATGTCAGGGTGGTCTCCGAATGGGTAAAATCCGGTTTATTAGCAATTTGGGTATAGTGTAAGTTCCGATTTTTGATGGGGTAAACCAAGAATGATACGGAAAAAGTAAGTAGAAAATTGTCCATAATTACCCCCCAGTATGAGGGGGAGTAACGCCTCCGGGCTTCCAGTTTAGCTTTAGCAAAAATGCACGTAAGGTGACTATCGAAGATCATCCCCTAAATGTCCTTTATCCTATTTTGGAGCCCGACCACGTAGATTTCTACCGGGTCACAGACATTAAAAAAAATAAAATAAGCAAAAAAAAATTAACGAACACTAGACAAAAAACTGTACAAGTTAAAATAGCCCGCCCCAAAACCCCATAAAAATTTTTAAAAAAAAAACGCCTAGTTTTTCCCCGAGGTCTTGACAGGCCTCCTAGTAATTTTTGAAAACCTAAGGGGAGAAATGGCCCAACCAAGAGTAAAATTTTTAAAAATGATCCACAGCCAATGGCATGCCAGCTACCAGGACAAAAATTAGTTAGGATTGCATTTAACCCCACTGTGTGTGGTGTGTGTGTGTGTGTGTGTGTGTGTGTGTGTGTGTGTGTGTGTGTGTGTGTAACATTCTTGGTAACCACACAAGTACTCACCGGTATTTATAGCAAAGCCGCCACCACCTCTCTTTGAACAGTTATGAAACTAATTTTACTCCAAGAAATTAGAAGAGGTCATCACCTGAGGCTAGACGCGGAGATGTACCCATCTGCTGCCGACAGATGCACATCAAGCACCATCCAAGGCAGATAAATCGACCCAGTTAAGCCACAATCCAAAAAGTGTACATAATCCCTCCATATCTCCCCTAACTATGAAAAGAGGTGGGGAGGGGGGAGGGGGACCCGGGCAACAGTTAAAAGAGGAAGCAAGTAGATACTATCCAAGAGGAAAATAAGAAGTTCACTACCTTGGAAAAAGAGCCCCTCACGGTCAAAACTACTAGATCTATAGTGAATAAAATTAGGCCAAAAATTTATTCACGTTTCTCACCAGTGTTTATTGCCGGGGAGTCAACATGTCATCAGTGGTTGAAGGTTCAGGGCAGGTGGTATCGTTTTCCAAATTTTTGCAAGCTCACCTCTGTAAAGATTTCAATTTTATTACATCAAAGTATCGGGAATAAGAGACAATATTACATAGCTTAACCTTACTAATCTTAGCATTATGTTCAAGACTTATCGTGTTAAAAGCAGTTTGGTTTTAAACTTTGCAAAGCTCTGAAGCCCATTATTATTTACAAAGCACTACAATTATTTTGTTATTCAATACTTTGATCATATCTCTTATCAAATTTGTACATTTTTGTCAACCTGCTGCTCTCATTCTAATCTCTAAACAAGCAAAGTTGTTCTTTTTCTTTACAATCCATATTCATGCTGGAAAATTACTGTTAGCTAGAAGGTGCACTTACGCTCTATCTCCCTGTATTGTTTAACGGCTTGACAAAACTCCTGGAAAGCGAAAAGTTGCTTCAATAAAATGTCGCATTAGTTGTGTCCTTTTTACCTAACATTCATACTTTGATCCTTGTCATTGGTCATAAATTAGCAAATATAATGAAAAGGATAATTATTCCCAGCGATTATGTGAATTTTTGCTTGGTTCTTAAGCACTCTAGGAATCGTGGCTCCTACCCCTAGGCAAAGCAGTTCAAATCTCACCACGATGCTCAGGTGACCCGATGTCAGAAGGAAAGGCTCGTGAAAGACTGAAGCGAGAGCTGGTTTCCAAATAGTGCCAAGGCCGTAACAGTCATACAGAGCATGGGAAATGGTTAGAAAACAGGTTCAATTCAAATCAAGGAACAGCAGTTCCATTATATGCATGAAGAGCCCTTCACCACCATTAAGGCAGCCTTCTTGAAGTAACTGGCACCAGTAAATTAAAACTGGTCTTAAAAATTACTCTTAAAGAGTCCTTTATGCCAGTGTGGCTTTCTAAATTTAACCAGTTTCTCTTTACTCAGTATCGAGCCTTCTTGCCTACTATTTCGCTAAACACCGATTACCTAGAGATTAACACATCCCCCTAGATGTAATGTACCAAAAGTGCTATACCAATACTGTACCTTTGTTTCACTCTTGTTTGTCAGCTCTTGGGGGATGATGTGTAGTTCGACTCCGGTACATGGTGACATGTTGACTAACTCTTAATTGAACACTTCAGAAAAGCAAATATCTTCGCTCCTGCTTTGTCTTCTACCTTTTAACAAAACGACACACTTTCTTGCATGGAATGTATATGAACATATTTGTTCCTCTAGTAGAGGCGAGATTGTCACTTGAAGACGAGGCTGGGGTATCGGTTGGAGTCGAGACTCCAGTGACATTTGAGGGTTGGGCGTTTGCCTGCGAGGCTGAGTTAGTAGGCTGTCGTCGAGCCAGGGATGCATACCTCGCATTTTCCACGTGGACCTGAATACGGTATAACCTCATCGGAGTAACACACCGAGAATAAATATTTTGAGTTCTTTGGCATTCGTTACACACCCACAGCTGGCAGTACTGACAGTGACGGTGCACCAGGGAGCCATCGTGAATGCATCGATCTTTGGATACTTCTACTGGAGCCTCCTGAGAAGCTCTTGATGTTGCCAACAGTGTTATACATGGGTTATGCTCCACTGGTTGAAGACTGTGCTCTGTGGGCAAAAGTGGAACCCTCGTTTCGGTTTCATTGGTAAAAGTTCCTGATGAATCCTCTGAAGCACAAGCTTTCTGGGTCTGAGCACCAAGGGCCACATCACTCCCTGATCTAGATGCTCTAGTAAAGGCACGACGACCTTTCTTGGCACGAGCTGATGCACGTTGAGATCGAGAGAGAACAGATGGTTGGGGTCGAGATCCAGGGACAGCGGATGGTTGGGGACGAGATCCAGGGACAGCGGATGGTTGGGGACGAGATCCAGGGACAGCGGATGGTTGGGGACGAGTCCAGGGAGCGGATGGTTGGGGACGAGATCCAGGGACAGCGGATGGTTGGGGACGAGATCCAGGGAACAGCGGATGGTTGGGGACGAGATCCAGGGACAGCGGATGGTTGGGGACGAGATCCAGGGACAGCGGATGGTTGGGGACGAGATCCAGGGACAGCGGATGGTTGGGGACGAGATCCAGGGACAGCGGATGGTGGGGGACAGATCCAGGGACAGCGGATGGTTGGGGACGAGATCCAGGGACAGCGAGATGGGTGGGGACGAGATCCAGGGACAGCAGAGGGCGGGGGTCCAGACCCAGGGACAGCAGAGGGCGGGGGTCCAGACCCAGGGACAGCAGAGGGCGGGGGTCCAGACCCAGGGACAGCAGAGGGGCGGGGGTCCAGACCCAGGGACAGCAGAGGGCGGGGGTCCAGACCCAGGGACAGCAGAGGGCGGGGGTCCAGACCCAGGGACAGCAGAGGGCGGGGGTCAGACCCAGGGACAGCAGAGGGCGGGGGTCCAGACCCAGGGACAGCAGAGGGCGGGGGTCCAGACCCAGGGACAGCAGAGGGGCGGGGGTCCAGACCCAGGGACAGCAGAGGGCGGGGGTCCGACCCAGGGACAGCAGAGGGCGGGGGTCCAGACCCAGGGGACAGCAGAGGGCGGGGGTCCAGACCCAGGGACAGCAGAGGGCGGGGGTCCAGACCCAGGGACAGCAGAGGGCGGGGGGTCCAGACCCAGGGGACAGCTGAGGGCGGGGGTCCAGACCCAGGGACAGCAGAGGGCGGGGGTCCAGTACCCAGGGACAGCAGAGGGCGGGGGTCCAGACCCAGGGACAGCAGAGGGCGGGGGTCCAGACCCAGGGACAGCAGAGGGCGGGGGTCCAGACCCAGGGACAGCAGAGGGCGGGGGTCCAGACCCAGGGACAGCAGAGGGCGGGGGTCCAGACCCAGGGACAGCAGAGGGCGGGGGTCCAGACCCAGGGACAGCGAGGGGCGGGGGTCCAGACCCAGGGACAGCAGAGGGCGGGGGTCCAGACCTAGGGACAGCAGAGGGCGGGGGTCCAGACCCAGGGACAGCAGAGGGAGGGGGTCCAGACCCAGGGACAGCAGAGGGCGGGGGTCCAGACCTAGGGACAGCAGAGGGCGGGGGTCCAGACCCAGGGACAGCAGAGGGCGGGGGTCCAGACCCAGGGACAGCAGAGGGACACCGAGATGAGGGAAGAAGAGCGTATGGGGACTGAGCTTGAAGAGAAACGTGGAGCCTGTACTGCCCTGCAGAGCAATAATCAAGTCTGTACCAAGTTGGAAAAACAGAAGCCTGTTTGTGCCACATTGCACGGGAGAGTGCAATAATGGAACGACCTCGTACTCTATCTGCAAGGTGTGCTGGGTGGACCAGTATGTACCGACCAAAAGGGGAGAGCAATATTATCTTCTCTGATGTAGCAACAAGCGGCGAGACCGGGGCTGCTGCAGCAGCAACACGGGGTGGGGCCGGGGCTGCAACAGCAACATGCGGTGCAGCAGCAGGTGGTGGGGGGGGGCCCGGGGCTGCAGCAGCAACACGGGGTGGGGCCGGGGCTGCAGCAGCAACATGCGGTGCAGCAGCAGGTGGTGGGGGGCCCGGGGCTGCAGCAGCAACATGCGGTGCAGCAGCAGGTGGTGGGGGGCCCGGGGCTGCAGCAGCAACATGCGGTGCAGCAGCAGGTGGTGGGGGGCCCGGGGCTACAGCAGCAACAGGTGATGAACAATTTACATTTAAAGTGTGAGCATTACTAGGTGCTGGAACATGTAGTCTTGCAGACTGATCACTAAGACTTGATAGTCCTCCTACACAAGGAAGAGGTAAAGCACCATCTTGTCGAGGAGGAGTTACGCGAGATGAGAATTCTGGCCTAGATGTTTGAACTGCAATAATTTCTGGACCATCCAGAGAGAAAGGCTCAACTCCAATAGGTATTTGAACCTCAGGTTTGGAAGACTGTCGTGCAGGGGAAGTACAAAGGTAAGGTCTTTTAACTTGTTCCTTAAGTGGAGACGCAACCTCAGAGGGAGGAACATGTGACGTTGGATAAACTAGGCTGCCAGAGGGACTGGGAGGCGACGCCGGAGCGTCAGGTCGGCCAGAGGGATTCGGGGGCGACGCCGGAGCGTCAGGTCGGCCAGAGGGATTCGGGGGCGACGCCGGAGCGTCAGGTCGGCCAGAGGGATTCGGGGGCGTACGCCGGAGCGTCAGGTCGGCCAGAGGGATTCGGGGGCGACGCCGGAGCGTCAGGTCGGCCAGAGGGATTCGGGGGCGACGCCGGAGCGTCAGGTCGGCCAGAGGATTCGGGGGCGACGCCGGAGCGTCAGGTCGGCCAGAGGGATTCGGGGGCGACGCCGGAGCGTCAGGTCGGCCAGAGGGATTCGGGGGCGACGCCGGAGCGTCAGGTCGGCCAGAGGGATTCGGGGGCGACGCCGGAGCGTCAGGTCGGCAGAGGGATTCGGGGGCGACGCCGGAGCGTCAGGTCGGCCAGAGGGATTCGGGGGCGACGCCGGAGCGTCAGGTCGGCCAGAGGGATTCGGGGGCGACGCCGGAGCGTCAGGTCGGCCAGAGGGATTCGGGGGCGACGCCGGAGCGTCAGGTCGGCCAGAGGGATTCGGGGGCGACGCCGGAGCGTCAGGTCGGCCAGAGGGATTCGGGGGCGACGCCGGAGCGTCAGGTCGGCCAGAGGGATTCGGGGGCGACGCCGGGCGTCAGGTCGGCCAGAGGGATTCGGGGGCGACGCCGGAGCGTCAGGTCGGCCAGAGGATTCGGGGGCGACGCCGGAGCGTCAGGTCGGCCAGAGGGATTCGGGGGCGACGCCGGAGCGTCAGGTCGGCCAGAGGGATTCGGGGGGCGAGTCGGGCCGGCGAGCGTCAGGTCGGCCAGAGGGATTCGGGGGCGACGCCGGAGCGTCAGGTCGGCCAGAGGGATTCGGGGGGCGACGCCGGAGCGTCAGGTCGGCCAGAGGGATTCGGGGGCGACGCCGGAGCGTCAGGTCGGCCAGAGGGATTCGGGGGCGACGCCGGAGCGTCAGGTCGGCCAGAGGGATTCGGGGGCGACGCCGGGGCGTCAGGTCGGCCAGAGGGATTCGGGGGCGGACGCCGGAGCGTCAGGTCGGCCAGAGGGATTCGGGGGCGACGCCGGAGCGTCAGGTCGGCCAGAGGGATTCGGGGGCGACGCCGGGAGCGTCAGGTCGGCCAGAGGGATTCGGGGGCGACGCCGGAGCGTCAGGTCGGCCAGAGGGATTCGGGGCGACGCCGGAGCGTCAGGTCGGCCAGAGGGATTCGGGGGCGACGCCGGAGCGTCAGGTCGGCCAGAGGGATTCGGGGGCGACGCCGGAGCGTCAGGTCGGCCAGAGGGATTCGGGGCGCGCGAGCCGGAGCGTCAGGTCGGCCAGAGGGATTCGGGGGCGACGCCGGAGCGTCAGGTCGGCCAGAGGGATTCGGGGGCGACGCCGGAGCGTCAGGTCGGCCAGAGGGATTCGGGGGCGACGCCGGAGCGTCAGGTCGGCCAGCAGGGATTCGGGGGCGACGCCGGAGCGTCAGGTCGGCCACAGGGATTCGGGGGCGACGCCGGAGCGTCAGGTCGGCAACAGGGATTCGGGGGCGACGCCGGAGCGTCAGGTCGGCCACAGGGATTCGGGGGGCGACGCCGGAGCGTCAGGTCGGCCACAGGGATTCGGGGGCGACGCCGGAGCGTCAGGTCGGCCAAGGGATTCGGGGGCGACGCCGGAGCGTCAGGTCGGCCACAGGGATTCGGGGGCGACGCCGGAGCGTCAGGTCGGCCACAGGGATTCGGGGGCGACGCCGGAGCGTCAGGTCGGCCACAGGGATTCGGGGGCGACGCCGGAGCGTCAGGTCGGCCACAGGGATTCGGGGGCGACGCCGGAGCGTCAGGTCGGCCACAGGGATTCGGGGGCGACGCCGGAGCGTCTACTCGGCCACAGGGATTCGGGGGCGACGCCGGAGCGTCTACTCGGCCACAGGGATTCGGGGGCGACGCCGGAGCGTCTACTCGGCCACAGGGATTCGGGGGCGACGCCGGAGCGTCTACTCGGCCACAGGGATTCGGGGGCGACGCCGGAGCGTCTACTCGGCCAGAGGGATTCGGGGGCGACGCCGGAGCGTCTACTCGGCCAGAGGGATTCGGGGGCGACGCCGGAGCGTCTGCTCGGCCAGAGGGATTCGGGGGCGACGCCGGAGCGTCTGCTCGGCCAGAGGGATTCGGGGGCGACGCCGGAGCGTCTGCTCGGCCAGAGGGATTCGGGGGGCGACGCCGGAGCGTCTGCTCGGCCAGAGGGATTCGGGGGCGACGCCGGAGCGTCTGCTCGGCCAGAGGGATTCGGGGGCGACGCCGGAGCGTCTGCTCGGCCAGAGGGATTCGGGGGCGACGCCGGAGCGTCTACTCGGCCAGAGGGATTCAGGGGCGACGCCGGAGCGTCTACCTCGGCCAGAGGGATTCAGGGGCGACGCCGGAGCGTCTACTCGCCAGAGGGATTCAGGGGGCGACGCCGGAGCGTCTACTCGGCCAGAGGGATTCAGGGGCGACGCCGGAGCGTCTACTCGGCCAGAGGGATTCAGGGGCGACGCCGGAGCGTCTACTCGGCCAGAGGGATTCAGGGGCGACGCCGGAGCGTCTACTCTCGGCCAGAGGGATTCAGGGCGACGCCGGAGCGTCATACTCGGCCAGAGGGATTCAGGGGCGACGCCGGAGCGTCTACTCGGCCAGAGGGATTCAGGGGCGACGCCGGAGCGTCTACTCGGCCAGAGGGATTCAGGGGCGACGCCGGAGCGTCTACTCGGCCAGAGGGATCAGGGGGACGCCGATGCGTCTACTCGGCCAGAGGGATTCAGGGGCGACGCCGGAGCGTCTACTCGGCCAGAGGGATTCAGGGGCGACGCCGGAGCGTCTACTCGGCCAGAGGGATTCAGGGGCGACGCCGGAGCGTCTACTCGGCCAGAGGGATTCAGGGTCGACGCCGGAGCGTCTACTCGGCCAGAGGGATTCAGGGGCGACGCCGGAGCGTCCTACTCGGCCAGAGGGATTCAGGGTCGACGCCGGAGCGTCTACTCGGCCAGAGGGATTCAGGGGCGACGCCGGAGCGTCTACTCGGCCAGAGGGATTCAGGAGCGACGCTGGAACGTATAATCTTGAGAGAGTTGAAGGGATTGTTGAAACATTTCCATCTGAAGACAAACCTAATGCAGTTCTAACGTCCAGTTTCATACTCTCAGCAGCATGGAAAATTCTACCATCTAGTTTTTCATCTAGTTTTGCCGACCGATCTGCGCATTTGTGTCTTTTTACACATCTACTCTTATAACTTTTTGCTGAGTAGTTAGTTGGTACACACGTCTCGTTCAAGGTCAGAGCCCTAACTGTGGCACGCTGTCTAAGGCCTCCTGATATACTTGCATCCTTGGCAGATCGAACTGGATGTAAACGTGGACCGTTTTTATATTTAGCTATTCTACTGTAGTTTTTCCTTCTCCGTAATATTGGAGCTCTGGCACCATTTGTTGACTTAACTGATGAGGCACTGACACGCTTCATATATTTATCGGAAAGCACTATGGCATGTTTTTTATACCGGCGTAGATGGGCATAGGTAAGTTTGATGGATGGAATTTGAATTGCACTGGTAACTTGCCTAACTGAATGAGCACTGGCTCTCTTTCCTGGCTTATCTGAAGGTGCAATGGCTGCCATAGTTGGTGCAAGAGCGTCCATGGCTCCCCCCGCCGGTGGTACAAGAGGGTCCCTGGCTATCTTCGATCGTGGTACAAGAGGGTCCCTGGCTATCTTCGATCGTGGTACAAGAGGGTCCCTGGCTATCTTCGATCGTGGTACAAGAGGGTCCCTGGCTATCTTTCGATCGTGGTAACAAGAGGGTCCCTGGCTATCTTCGATCGTGGTACAAGAGCGTCCCTGGCTATCTTCGATCGTGGTACAAGAGCGTCCCTGGCTCCCCCTGCTGGTGGCGCAAGAGGGTCCCTGGCTATCTTCGATCGTGGTACAAGAGGGTCCCTGGCTATCTTCGATCGTGGTACAAGAGGGTCCCTGGCTATCTTCGATCGTGGTACAAGAGGGTCCCTGGCTATCTTCGATCGTGGTACAAGAGGGTCCCTGGCTATCTTCGATCGTGGTACAAGAGCGTCCCTGGCTATCTTCGATCGTGGTACAAGAGCGTCCCTGGCTATCTTCGATCGTGGTACAAGAGCGTCCCTGGCTATCTTCGATCGTGGTACAAGAGCGTCCCTGGCTCCCCCTGCTGGTGGCGCAAGAGCGTCCCTGGCTATCTTCGATCGTGGTACAAGAGGGTCCCTGGCTATCTTCAATCGTGGTACAAGAGGGTCCCTGGCTATCTTCCCATCGTGGAAACAAGGGGGTCCCTGGCTATCTTCGATCGTGGTACAAGAGGTCCCGGGGCTATCTTCGATCGTGGTACAAGAGGGTCCCTGGCTATCTTCGATCGTGGTACAAGAGGGTCCCTGGCTATCTTCGATCGTGGTACAAGAGGGTCCCTGGCTATCTTCGATCGTGGTACAAGAGGGTCCCTGGCTATCTTCGATCGTGGTACAAGAGGGTCCCTGGCACCCTTCGTTGGTGGTACAAGAGCGTCCCTGGCTCCCCCCGCTGGTGGCGCAAGAGCGTCTCTGCCTATCTTCGATCGTGGTACAAGAGGGTCCCTGGCTATCTTCGATCGTGGTACAAGAGCGTCCCTGGCACCCTTCGTTGGTGGAACAAGAGCGTCCCTGGCTATTTTCGATCGTGGTACAAGAGGGTCCCTAGCTATTTTCGATCGTGGTACAAGAGGGTCCCTGGCACCCTTCGTTGGTGGAACAAGAGCGTCCCTGGCTATTTTCGATTGTGGTACAAGAGGGTCCTTGGCTATCTTCGATCGTGGTACAAGAGGGTCCCTGGCTATTTTCGATCGTGGTACAAGAGGGTCCCTAGCACCCTTCGTTGATGGAACAAGAGGGTCCTTGGCTATCTTCGATCGTGGTACAAGAGGGTCCCTGGCTATCTTCGATCGTGGTACAAGAGGGTCCCTGGCTCCCCCCGCCGGTGATGCAAGTGTGTCCCTGGCTATCTTCGATCGTGGTACAAGAGGGTCCCTGGCTATCTTCGATCGTGGTACAAGAGGGTCCCTGGCTATCTTCGATCGTGGTACAAGAGGGTCCCTGGCTATCTTCGATCGAGGTACAAGAGGGTCCCTGGCTATCTTCGATCGAGGTACAAGAGGGTCCCTGGCTATCTTCGATCGAGGTACAAGAGGGTCCCTGGCTATCTTCATCGGTGGAACAGGAGCGTCCCTGGCTCCCCCCGCCGGTGATGCAAGCGTGTCCCTGGCTATCTTCGATCGAGGTACAAGAGGCTCACTGGCACCCTTCGTCGGTGGAACAAGAGCGTCTTTGGCTCCTCCCGCCGGTAACGCATGTGCGTCCCTGGCTCCCCCCGCCAGTGGCGCAAGAGCGTCCCTGTTTTTCCTCGATCGTGGTACAAGAGGGTCCCTGGCTATCTTCGTCAGTGGAACATGAGCGTCCCTGGCTCCTCTCGCCGGTGACGGAAGAGCGTCCCTGGCTATCTTCGATCGTGGTACAAGAGGGCCCCTGGCTATTTTCGATTGTGGTACAAGAGGGTCCCTGGCTATCTTCGATCGTGGTACAAGAGGGTCCCTGGCACCCTTCGTCGGTGGAACTGAAGAGGCACTGGTATCTTCTGAAATGTCAACTGCGAAATCTCTCACATCTTTCGTGGATTGCACTAAAGGTTTACTGGCAGCCTCTGGAAGTTTAACTGGCGGGGTTGTGGTGCCCCCTCTCGGTTTAACTGGGGAAAAAGAAACCTTAGTAGGTTGGACTAGCGAGGCGCTGACACACTTTGTAGATTTATCTGAACGATAAGCAAAGGCTAAAGGCGGAGCTGAAGTTTTGTCAGCAAATAATGGACTATGCTGAATGGATCCAGATGAGGGTGAAACTCTTTCGGCGTCGTGTGAAAGTCGAGTCGAAATTACACAAGTTACGGTAGGAGGAACTTCGGATTTGGAATTAATGGGCGAACTCGGCATTAGCAATGCAAGAGAGGTCGAGCACAGAAAGGAAGGCACCGTTGTTGAAACAGACCCTTTCACGGGTGATTTCCTTGTGGCCTCTTCAAGGAAAGACATTTTTCCTCCTTCCAATGATATTTCGTTATTTTTCAGGTCTTCAGCAAACTGTGTATCCCTTCTCCTTAAGAAGCATCCAAGACAGAATATGGCATTTTCACTTGTCGACTGAAGTTTACTGGAAGCACAGACACTATGGTCGCCGAGACGCACTCGTCCTTCACCGCTGGAAGCCAAGATGGTTCCACAGAAGTAACAGCTAAAATTTCTGAGGAAAATTATTTCTAATTAGGAGATTCACATGCAGAATAAGTGTTAGTGGAATTAATCGGCTATTATGCTGTCAAACTTGTGTGATTCAGATTTCCAAAGTTAAAAATACTCTATAAATATTTAATAATCCCCTAATATAATTTTGCAAAGACTACCCAGAAAAGAAGTGTAGAAAGAATAATTAAATGAACTCTACAACCATTAAAAAGTTATGAGAAATTGCTCTAAAGTGTCTGAAGTGGTTTCACAATGGTAATTTTTCAAAACTCTGAAAATATCAATAGTTACTCGAGGTTAGTCTCAATGTAGTAATATATAATGCCTCAGGTTGTTATTGCTTATTTCCTCAAGTACATTTTCTAAACTAAAACTGACATTCATTTCCCATCATTAGGAGTTACCTACCCTTCATCATTACGCGAGGGTGTTGACTCTGCTTCGTAAGAGTCATCAGAGTCGCATCCTAAAGCTCCTTCAGAAATAGTCGTAAAACAAGGTTCATTGTCTTTATCCTGGAGAGTAACAGAATCGGCATCGTTCACGTCCTCCATAATATACCCTACCCAATCCTCTTCATAGTCAGGGACGGTATCACTCAGACACTCGAAACAAGTTTTAATCTCATCATCCAGATCTTTGTCTTCTGAAATTTCGTTTTGCCGATTGTGACCACAGCTGTAACTATCGTCCAGGTCTGGGCGAGCCTTTGGCTTGTCCCCGCATGATGTGCTATAGTCTGTCGAATGCAATGTATTAGTTTCTTTACATTCATTTTTGTTAAGAGTGTCGCGCCCCTCTGCATCATCACAGTGTTGTCCTCCGTCATGCTGGAGACTCCTGTACGCACCTTCTCCTGGGTCGTCCAGCCACGGGCTTTTAAAACCTACAATACTTTCTTCGTGCATATTAAAATCTTGACAGTTGTCAAGTAGCTGAGGGTCCTTTGGAGCTTCAGGAGGCTTTTGCTCCGAGTCAGTGTGGGACTGCTCGGATTTTTCGACAGAAGTATCCTTGTTTAGTGTCACTATGCAGACGTCGTCTTGCCCATCTGCACCCACCAAACCTGTATAAAGGAGAAGGCATTTACCACCACGATTAACCACTCAGCGACTTCAAGAAAACTTCAATAATTTACATATTATATATTTAAAAAAAAGAAAGACCCTTCCACATCTTCATGAAGCAGCTCGTCCACAAAGCTGGCTGTGCAGTAGTAATAAGTAGCATTAGTATTAGCAATAATAGTGATAATAGTAATTAATAGCAGTGGTAACAGCAGCAGTAGAAGGACCGTAATTAGTTATAAATGAAATAGTGGTAGTTTGTAGTCATGGTAGTAATTACTAGTGGTCGTAGTAACATTTATTGAGCACTTACCACACAAGTTACATAAACGCTCACGCTCATAAAAATTACACCGAACTATAAGGGATAAAAATAAAAAGCAAGGAACAAACATTCAACAAATACTATTATACCATGTAAAAATACAGCATTATTTAAAAAACATTAAGTCGTACGATTCCCCTGAAAGTTCCGAGGTCCCTACAGGCACCTCGGCAATAAGAACCACGACGAAGGTAGCAGAGGACAAACTTAAAAAATGATCCTCACTTATCAGCAAGTCGCAAGCAACACAAAAGAGCACCAACGAACAGGTGGTTGTGGACGATTTGTGGCACAGAGCCTCAGTCGATAGAAATCTCCAAGACGATTACTGCTGGGAAAAGAACCAAAACACACCGTCCTGCCGAACCCTTGTGTATGTCTCCCAGTTTGTCTCTGGTATTGTAGTCCTTTCGGTATCTGTTACAGTGTTTCTGCACATGTTCATGGAAATATGGGCACTCGTGTGAATCTACTCTGGCATTACCAACCTGTATCAGTGATCTTTAAGGACCTCGTTCATGACAGTTTTGAGATATATATACAGTAACCATGAGGTCGAAGGGCAGCAATAGAAGCGAGCCAGAGTAGATTTAAGGGCCAAGGCAGCTATCTCCCATAACAAGGTAGACAGAACGAGTGATATTAAGGTTGTGACTGGCCTATAAAAAAGGGGGGGGAAGAGAGGGTGAGGGAAAGAAAAAGATGGAGAAAAAGAAAAAGAAAAAAAGAAAGAAAAAGAGAGAGAGAGAGAGAGAGAGAGAGAGAGAGAGAGAGAGAGAGGGGGGGGGGGGGAGGGGTAGGTAGGTAATCGGCCAGCCCTTCGCTCTGAGCTTGCCACCACCAATTGGAATGCTCTTCTCCAAGGGGATGTTGACAACCAAGTGAAAGCCTTCACTGGACACATCCTTAATCTACAACAAGAACACATTCCTCACTGGCAATATGTGACGAAGCCTACGGATCAGCCTGGGTTTGGCTTTCGTTGTAGAGAGGCTGCTACTGCTAAGTACAAAGCATGGCGAAGGTATAAGACACATCCTAACACCTATAACAGGAACTTGCACAGGTAAGCCTGTAGACATATGGGTGACTTTCAAAAGTGGGCCATTGCTAAATGGGAGGTGGGCACTAAAAGAAAGCTAGCATCAGGTAGGGTAGGCTCCAAAACCTGGTGGTCCCTGGTCAAGGACAGACAAGGTTATCTGCCTGATGAACTCATTCCAACTCTAAATCGACAGGATGGGACCACCTCTACTAGTAGTCAAGAGAAGGCAGACCTCTTTGCTGAACACTGCTACCAAAATGCAAGTTCCTGATCCAGCAAGGGACCCTCCTTGGCTAGCTGCAAGAACTGTCAAAACTGTCAGTGGTGACTAAGGCAGGAGGAGGTGCATTTCCTTCTTAAATCGCTTGACCAAGAAGAGGCTGTGGGCCCAGACAAGTTGAGCCCAAGATTGTTGAGAAGATGTGCAGACCAGCTAGTAGCACCTCTAACTCTCATCTTTCAGCACTGCCTAGTACAGTGCAAATGGCCCTCTATGGAAAGGCAAATGTAGTCCCTGTTCACAAAAAGAGCAGAGCAGAAATCAGCAACTACAGACCAGTGTCACTCCTGTCAATCACTGGTAAGATCCTTGAGACAATCTCAAGACAAATGACAGTTTTTTGACTATCACTCACTACTTTGTGATCGTCAATATGGCTTCAGGAAAGGTTACTCTGCTGCTGATCTGTTAAACCTCTCCACTAAGTGGCACCAATCACTGGATGAATCTAAAGTCAGCTGTGTGGTAGCACTGGACATTGCTGGCGCTTTCGACTGGGTGTGGCACCAGGGCCTCTTGGCAAAACTTAAAGCACTGGGAATTGCAGGCTCTACGCTACGTCTCCTTAGTGATTACCTTCATGGTAGATCTCCAAGTGTAGTTCTCAATGGAATGGAATCAGCAAGACATCCTATTGGGGCAAGTGTTCCACAAAGAAGCATGCTGGGACCATTGCTATGGAATGTCTACTACAACGACCTTCATCTCATCACAATCACATGCATATGCAGACGACTGTACACCGACATTCACTTATCCAAGAGAAAAAAAATGGCAGCTGCTCTAAGCTACATCAATCACCAGCTGAGAGCTATATCAGCTTGGGGAAATAGATGGCAAGTAACATTTGCACCTGAGAAAACGCAAATGATGATCGTCTCTAGGCACGATGATGGTAATGCTGGTGCAGTAGTAAGGATGAATGGGAGGATGTTGGCACCTGGAGAAGAAGTTGATATCCTTGGGATGAAATTTGACTCCAAACTAACCATGAAGGACCATGTTGTAAATCTTGCAAACAAGGCAGCCAGGAAGGGCTTACAGCACTTCGCCGAAACTCCCATCTCTTGACGTGGGGGTTTTGCAAGATTCTGTACGAGGCACAAGAAACGCCCCCAAAACCTGAGTATGCCCCACTTTCTTGGAAAGCCTGGCCCCCCCCTTCATCTACGATGCTTGAAAAAATGGGAAAAACCGGGCAAGACGTCTATCCCCCGCCGGGCCCCATCCTGGATAGATCTTTTCATTTAAAAGCAGACCCTTTCAACATAGGAGGGATTGGGTGGCCTTCTTTTTATTAAAAGGGCCCAAATATGTAAAATCCCACACTTGGATCCACTTCGGGACAGCGTAAAACAGCTTTTATGCCAGAAGCCGGGCAAAAGCAGAAAACTTCACTGGGGTTTTAAACCCTTCTCCGAAATCCTCCATCTGAGATTTTACATACCCAGGATGACTCGAGAAAGGAACACATTCGTCCCAGATAATGATGCCCCAAACGAAAAAGTCAGTTGATCAAAGAAAATGCGGCCCCCACAGATGGCCCCAAATTCAGAGGAGGAAAAAAAAGAAAGAGAGAGAGAAAGAGGGAGAAAAGAGGAGAGAAAGAGAGAAAAGGAGGGAGAAAAGAGAGGGGGTAGAGGGGAGGAGAGAAAAGAGAGAGAGAGGGAGAGAAAAGAGGGGAAAGAGGGGAGAGAGGGGGAGAAAAAAAGGAAGAAGGAAAAGAAAAAGAAGAGGGGGAAAGGAGGGGGAAAGAGGAGAGAAAGAGAAAGAGAGAAAAAGGGGAAGAGAAAGAGAGAAAAAGAGAGAAAAGAGGGGGAAAAAAGAGAGAAAAAAAGAGAGAAAAAAAAGAGAAAGAGAGAAAAAAAGGGGGGAAAGAGAGGGGAAAGGGAAGAGAGAAAGGGGAAAAGAAAGAGAGAAAAGAGGGGAGAAAGAGAGGGGAAAAGAGAGAGAAAGAAGAGAGTAAGGGAGAGAGAAAAGAGAGGGGAAAAGAGGAGAGGGGAAAAAGAGAGAGAGAAAGAAGAGAAAAAAGGGGGGGAGAGAAAAGGGAGAGAGAAAAAAAGAGAGAAAAGAGGGAAAGAGAGAAAAGGAAAGGGGGGGAAAAGAAAGGGGGGAAAAAAGAGAAAGAGAGAGAGAAAGAGAAGAAAAAGGGGGGGAGAGAAAGAAGAGAAAAAGGGGAGAAAAAGGGGGAAAGGGGGAAAAGAGAGGGGAAAAAAAGGAGAGAAAGGGGGAAAGAGAAAGGGGAGGAGAAAAGAAGAGGGAAAAAGAGAGAGGGGAAAGAGAGAGAGAAAAAGAGAGGAGAGAAAAAAGAGAAGAGAGAGAGAAAGAAGGGGAAAAAAAGGGGAGAGGGGGGGAAAAAGAGAGAGGGGAAAGAGAAGAGAAAAGGGGAGAGGGGGAAAGGAGGGGAAAGCCCCTTTCCCCAATTTCCCTTTAATGGAAAATTTTGACCCCCTTCTGCTACAAACAACTGTAAAAATATATAATTTTTTGGGGGACCCCCAACCCGGGCCCCTTTTAACAGAGGGACTTTGATGACCTTCTTGCATTTGTTTGACTTTAGAAACTTTTTTTTGATTTCCCTACCATATTCGGGTTTCCCCCCTTGACCCAGTAGTGAGGTCTGGCAGAACCCCAAAGTCACTTGTCAACCCCTCGGCTACTTTGGGATTCGTCTGACCACAAGGCTGTTTTTAAAATTAAGATCCCAACAGAACGATTTTGAGGAGTCCACACGACAACCGGGCTAGGGGGGAAAAGGGGTTTATTGGGCCCCCCCTTTTTTGCTTGGGGCTCGCCACCACCGACTGGAATGTCTTCCCCGGGGGGGTTTTGGGAAAACCCAAAGTGAAAGCCTTCACTGGACACACCCTTAAATTCGGGAAAAAAGAAACATTCCTCACCGGAAAATATGTGACAAAGCCACAGATCACCCTTGTTTGGCTTTCTTTGGGTAGAGGGGCTGCTATGCAAAGTACAAAGCGGCGAAGGTAAAAGGGAGCCCACCTACCACCTTAACAGGAACTTGCACATGCAACCCTGTGGGCAGGGGGGTTTGATTTTCCCAAAGGGGGCCCATTACTAAATGGGGGGTGGACCCCTAAAAAAAAATTTAGACGGGTAGGGTGGGTTCCAAAACCGGTGGCCCCTGGTCAAGGACAGAAAAGGGTTATTGCCTGATAAAACTTTTTTCCCCTCTAAATCGACGGATGGACCACCTCTCCAAAGTGGGTTAAAGAAAAGGGGCGGACCTTTTTGCTAAACATTTTGTACCAAAATGCAATTTCCCTGACCAGCAAGGGACCCCCCTTTGGCTAGCTCCCCCAAAAAAAACTGGGTCAAAACGTCAGGG